GCACCAGGCACAGCTCCTGATCAACCTGCACCCAGGGTGTCGCGCATCCACGCTGCTGCTTCCTTCCATCCACGCCTCTTCCCCTGGTCGACCTCACAAGTCCAATCGTGGCTCCATAAAAATTTCTAATTAAAATCGAAATGGCTCAAGAAGACACCACAAGCATCAGCACAAGCAGCACAAGTGCCAGCACCTCCAGCGTGCCTGTACCTGTGCCTGCGCCTGTGCCTGTACCAGTTGTGCCTGATGTCAACGACGTCGCCGCTCCTAGTACGGATCCCTCGACAACCTCTACTAATTCTATCCTCCCCCCGACTACTTCGACCTCTCCTCTTCTTCCCGTCGCTTCTGCTCCTGCTCCTCTCTCCACGACACCGACCTTGACCTCCATCGAGACACCGACTCCCTCCACCGAGACCCCGTCCGTCGCGACTGCGAACGCGTCCGTACCTGGCACTGCTGCGGCACCTGCGATTGGTCCTTCGACCACGACCACGAGCGCGACTGCGACTGCGACTGCGACTGCGACTGAGTCTACTACGCCTGCGGTGGCAGCTCCTGCGCCTCTCCCTCCTCAGCAGAACGGTCAGCAGAACGGCGACGCGAGGGAGTCACACTCGCCCGGCATGGCGCATAATCAGCACCCTCATGGCTCCCAGAGAGGCTACCCGAGCCCCAATGCCTTCCCGTCACCTGGTCCTATGCCGCCGAACCAATATGCCTACCACCCTCAGCAGACGCAAGCTCAGGCGGACCCATACCGAGCCAGTCCTGGCGCGCCGATTCCTTCTCTGCCGAGCATGAAGAGCCTCGAACACCACTACCAACAAAGTGCGCCGCCGCCTCCTCAGACGATGTCGATGCAGATGCAGATGGCGCCCAACCAAGGCATGCAATACTACCTCCCACCGGGAGTACAGAGCAACCCATATATGACGCAGGATCTCAACCACCTGAGGTATCAAATCCCCCACGGGCACGATCCTAGATTGATGCGCGGTCCCGGTGGGCCGAAGAAGGTATGTTTGAAGGGATATGCAAAGAGACGGAAGAAGGCTGCTCCGGCAGTAGCAGTGGCTCGTTTGGATAAAAGCTGACGGTTGGGGTTTACCTCTTTTTCTTACTAGGAGATCAAGCGCCGCACAAAGACAGGTTGCCTAACTTGTCGTAAACGCCGTATCAAGGTTAGTAATGGTTCTCGTGAAGTTCTGCTCTGTTTGTCCTTTTTTCCGTCTTTTTCATATCACCATATCCCCGCTACGAATTGGGCGTTGTCGAGGCAAAGAGGTAATTGGGGAAATTTTCTCGAGACTCCCCATCCGAGAAAGCGCGCGCGTGAAAGGCAACATTTTGAAAAGCCCGGGAATGCAAAAGATGGCAAAGAACCAAACAAACTTTACGATAAGCGAACCGAGTCGTGGTTTCGCCAAAAAAAAACGGTCGCTTGATGTTCGCTTGGTCTGGAGCTACTGCGAAGCGAGGACGGGAGCCATGCCTTTGAACCACGTTCCGGGATCGCGCCCGCGCCCACGCCCGCAGGGAGGAGCAATCTTCCGTTCCTGCAGAACCGACCGCCGCGCCCGCCTGCCCGGCAAGAAAAGCCCCTCCCCTCCTTCCTTCCCTTCCAGTTAAGCCTCCAAGCCTCCCAGCCTTGGTTGAGGCCTCAGGACAAGCGTCAAGCCACCACACCATGGAGAACCTGGACGGACACGCCTCCAAAAACTCCAAGCACCAGCCACCCTCACCCATCTGTCGCGACTGCCGCTACCTGAGCTGGGCCTAGCCTCGTCCCATCTGCGACATTCATCGACTCCAACTCCAATTCATTCACCTTACCTCATCATCACCCTCAATACACACACATCTCACACACAGCCCTACCATCGTCGCCCGCAAACGGCATCTGCATATTCACCCGTTGCATTTCCCCACTCTCATATTCCCAGTTGTCTTACACATACATACCCGTTGTCGTTCTCATTCCTCGCTCACGAGGCCACTGTTGGTTGAGCTCTTTTCTCAGTAAAAGCCGCCATTCTAACCATCTCTTATAGTGTGACGAGGCTCACCCCTCCTGCAACAACTGTAAAAAGTCGAAGCGAGAGTGTTTGGGATACGACCCCATCTTCAAGCAGCAGCCAGGTCCTTCCGTAATCCAGCCCGCTCCGAACGCCCAGCGGGTGCCGACGCCGACCATCCCGTCCGTGCCATCATCCGTCCCACCTCCGGTCCCGACTGTACCTTCAACGCCTGCCGCGCCTCAGGTCCCCGTGCCGGTAGCTCCATCAAACCCCTACGGAAACCAGCCCGCCGTCTTGCCCAGCTCGTATAATCCTCCCGTTCCATCTTCGCACGCCCCTCTCGATCCAGCCTTGAATTCTGCTGCGTCCGGCATCAAACCCGAGCCCACCGCCTACGACTTTGCGGCCCCGATAGATCCAGCTCTGCAAAACCTACCCGCCCCGGCAACGTTACATTCTACTCAGACTCAGTCGTTCTCGGGCGAGCAAAGGGCAGGCTTCGACAACCATCTCAGAGGTGCGACCCTCCCGCTATCATTGTACATGCCTTGTTCTCTTTCAGCCGTTGTTGCTTCGTTCTCAAACCCTCATACTAACACGACCTACACAGCCACCAGAATGAAGGTCGATGACCTGATCGGCCTCCTGGGCCCCGCTGCTCCCACCCAGGAGATTGCACTCACTCCCGAGCTACTCACCGAGATCATCAACGTCTATCGCGAGGTCTATGCTGTCGGTCTCCAGTCCTTCTTCGAGGCAAACTACTTCCAGAAGCAGGATGCCCAGGGAAAGTTTGCCTTTGAGCACAGCCAGCAACTCTTGCGCCAATTTGCCTCGTTCCTCAAGATTGTTCAGTCTGTCCCGGCCAATGACCACACCCAGATGACCCATTCTGGAGTTCTCGAGACTCGGTTGATCTGGGCCCTGGCCATCTTGCCATGCAATAGCGCTCCCCCTTCGTCCAACGCCGATGCCAAGGTTCTGCCACCTCCGGATGACCTGACAGAAGCAGCCAACCGAGTCAAGGTCATGGAGACCCTCCTCTGCGGCGACTTCTTGTCCTCAAATCCTCTCACACCTCCTGTTCCTGACACCCAGCCTCATCGTGAGCAGGAGTTTGAGTTCTGGTATAACCTTGCACAGTATCTGTGTTGTTACGACCCAGCAAAGCGTGATGAGGTTCTCGGCAAACTCAGAATGCAGCTCGGTGGAAGAGAGAACCGAGATCTCATCTACTCCATCGCCATCTCACGAGAGCTCTCTCCTCGCGTGGAAGTCGGTTTTGAGCGGAATGTGCCCCAGCATATGGATGAGTCCGACCCTAAGAACCGACTCTTCGTAGCGAACAAGTTCATTCAGGATGAGGCTCAAGTGACCGGCGGAACAACAAACGTGGTCCGGCGATTCGGCGAGATTGCCATCAGAGCGTACATCAGTCCCGGGGTCAATATTGCGGCACACCCCCACCAGGCTGCTCCAGCACAGCCTTGATCATATTGATCCAACCAGATTTTTCGTTTTTTTCCTATCAGCATTCACACTCTGCAGCATTTTCCAGGCTCAAAGGGGGCGGGGGAGAACCAAAAATCGTGTATTTTCAGAGGCGTTCACAGGGATGGGAGGGAAGCATGGCTTTCTTCCCTTTTATGCTTTTCAATTTCCTTTTTGCATCAAAGCATACGGGCGGCAATACGCTGCTGCTCGTCCTATAGTTTCACGGCCGACGGCATCATCTTGTACAAGTAGTTCCCCCTAAAAACTAGTGATTATTCAGGCATGGCGGCGGTGTGGCGGGAAGAAAAAGAAAAAGTGGTTTTTGAGTGCAGCAGTGACTTGGGGGATGGGAGGTTTGGTAGAGGTCTCCCGTAGAGCTTTCATGGGAGGAAGCTACCAGACTTTCTGGACCTAGAGGCTGCTGATACTCTGTACGATATTAGACAGCATGGCCTTGGCCCTGGATTTAGGAGGCCAGTAGAAATCAAGAAATTCTGAACTAGCATCGTTGTGTCTGGTGAGATGCCATAAGGTTTCTGGTTATGCCACTTGAGGTTGATAGTCGAAGGTCAAGTTGGATGACAAGTATCGCGAGGCTGCAATCGACGATGATGACGTTGACTGAGATGTCGACCACCCAGCCAGACGCAGGGCCAACAACCTATTGATATTGAGGACCCTTTGCAGCGATGAGATGCGGGGATCATGCAAGTCACCACGATTGAAGAGCCTAGCCGGCGATTAGCGAGGTTCGATGCAGATTCGGAAATGCATGCTACTCTTTCGCCAAACCTCTCTTTGCCAAGATGCCTTTTCTTGGGGTCCATGCGATGTCGGCCATGTTTTTTATTATTCGAATTTGGTTGTGGTGTTGAAACTCGAGATGCGAAATTTTCCGGTCCTTTTACCTAAGGAAAACCTTGCGTTTGTCGTATTTACGACCAGCTTCGGATCTCGAGGTGGAACTCTTAGGGTTACCAAATTTGGCAATTTTTACAATCAAAAGAGCTCATGGCGACGCAGCGCTTCCGGGATATTTTCGAAGGGCCAGAGTCGCTCTTTGTTTTCAATTATTATCATCATTATCATCCAACTACCGGTACGCTTCACGAATTCTACGCGACATTTCACTCCCAACTGTAGGTCTTACAATCACTCGCCTCACCGTTGAGTCAGGTAGTGGATATTCGAAAGCCCGACAGACAGTTATCTAACATACCATCGTAGTGAGAGTTTTGCCAACGGAACGAAACCGGTTCCCGTTGACAAGAAAAGAAAAGGCGTTCTTGCCAGTACCATCGCGTGGGCTCGCGGAATTCCGCTAAACTGCAGAACTGCTGAAAACAGCACAAACGGGCTGTTAGTAAGCGCCAAGTGCAAACTACGTATATACGCTTTCCCACTTGTCTCGAATCTGAGAGGAAACTCACGATGAGTTTCCCCTTCTCACCGTGGCTTCACGATTCACATCCCACTTACACGAAAATGAAATCCCCCATCCCGGATTACCTCAACCGCGTCCTGGAGAATGCGCGACCCAACGAGGCCGGCGCCCCAGCGGGCTACATTGACGTGCTCGCCAAAGCGGACACGTCCAAAATGGCCGTCGCCCTCGCCATGGTAGACGGGAACCTCTACTCGGCAGGCGACGACCGCGTCGAGTTCTCCATCCAGTCCATCTCCAAAGCCTTTGTCTACGCTCTCGCCATAGAGGACGCGGGCCTCCCCGCCGTCCTCGAAAAGATCGGCGTCGAGCCCTCGGGCGACGCCTTCAACCGCCTCTCCCTCGAGCGCGGGTCCAACAGGCCCATGAACCCCATGATCAACGCCGGCGCCATCACGGCGCACTCCCTCGTCGTGTCCCCCTCCGCGACGCTGGAACAGCGCACAGAACGCATCCTCACCGCCCTCTCGCGCCTCGCGGGCCGCCAGCTGCACGTAGACGAGGAAGTCTACGAGGCGGAACTCAAAGACGCGGACCGCAACATGGGCATCGGGTACATGCTCAAAGCCGCGGGCATCATCACCTGCGACCCGCGCGAGGCCGTAAAGGGGTACATCCGGCAGTGCTCCATCAGCGTCAACGTCCGCGACCTGGCCGTCATGGCCGCCACGCTCTCCAACGGCGGCGTGCAGCCTCTGACGGGCGAGTCCGTCATCCCGCAGACGAGCGTGAGGCAGGTGTTGTCGGTGATGACCACGTGCGGCATGTACGACGCCGCGGGCGACTGGGTCTCCAACGTCGGGATCCCCGCGAAATCGGGCGTCGCGGGCGGGATCATCGGCGCGTTGCCGGGGCAGGTCGGGCTCGCTTCTTTCTCGCCGAAACTCGATGAGCGGGGGAACAGTGTGCGCGGGGTAGCCATGTGCGAGCAGCTCTCGCGCGATATGGGCTTGCATATGATGGACGTGAGTCAGATTGCCAGCGCGACGGTGAGGACTTCGGTGGCGACGCTCGTTGCGGGAGCGCATGAGCCGCATAACCCGAATTGTCAGCGGGAGGTGGTCATTTTCAGTCTGCGCGGCGCGGTGCGGTTTGCTGGGTCAGAGAGGTTGACGAGGGCGCTGGCAAGGGAGCTGGGGTCGCCGGATCCGGAGGATCCCGGGTCGGGACGGCATGAGAATGCGTGTGCGGTTGTTTTCTCGTTTCGGGATGCGTATTCGTTGAATAATATCGCCAAGAGGATCGTTCATGAGAACATTCGGAGGTTACTGCTGGATGAGCGGAGTGTTGTTGTGGTTGACCCGAACGGGGTGTTGGGGATGGAGGTTGACGCGGAGGGGGAGAAGAAGCCGCATCCACATGTATTCAAGTCTGAGAAGGATGCAAGGGATTTCATTGGAGGAATGGGTTGTCAGGCTGTATTTAAGGAGGATAGTTGGTGATTATCGCAGTGCTTTAATGATACCATTTTCATATCTGACGTATTAGGAGATGTTCGTTGCCACTCTTGACTTGTGGGGAGTTATCTAGGGCATTGTGAGAAATGAGGAAATCTGATGATGATAAGCTTCATGATACGCTGAGACTCAAGTGCAACATGTCATGTAAGCTTGCTTTTGACAACCAGCCATTCCAAGATGGTGTGCACTATAGAGTTCGTAACGGTTATTAAACACAAGCACTGTGCCCTAGACTTGAGCCTTCTCAAGACAAGCAGATGATGTTACGATCTCTTGTCAAATATCCTGCGTCAACCAAACAGTACGTAAATGATTGTTGGAGGCTTTTCTATTGCACTCACTCTTCGATGAGCCCACCCTGTCTTTCTGAAAGCATTAGATGTCGCCTTTCCTGCAGCTCAGAGCTACAGTGTCTTCCGGGATAATTTCATACGACTCATGAGAATCACAGGTTGTTTGACTCGAAGCCATCCCTCTCTTGATAGCCATCTCTATTCTTCTGGCTCTATCACGCTCAGGTGAAGTTAGCCTATCCATCTCAATATACGCAATCTAGGAAACAGACCGCTGGCTGAATTTGTCCAACTAGATCCTACAAACAGTTGTAAAGTGTCGAGAGCCTCTCATTTCTATCACGTCCATGGAGGAAGCTGACTCATTTAAGGACTGCCAATGCTTGCACAGAAGCTACTCGGTCTTCTCCCCGAAGAAATTGGAGCGTACCTTATGACACGGCCCTCGCTCGACTTGGGGCTGAGATAAGATGCCAGGTCCGGTGGGGTGCCTTTCACGCCCTCTCACGCCCTGTAGAGACACATTCTCTAAACTGTTGGATATCCCTGTGAGTAGGAACCTGCAGGCTCGTATCAGAATTCTCAATAGAGATATGAATCACCTCAACCGTCTTCAGTCCTCCCGAGCACGACTTGTTGGCGAGATTGTTGGAAGAGAACGAGAACGAGTTTGGGCGACCAATTGAGCTCAACCCCGCTGATCAACCCCCACTTTCCCAATTGAGTCGACTTCCCAATGGGAAAGCCACCCCGCGCCGCTGTATCTCAACTCCGACTTCGCGGCATCAACTCGGCGAGGTGACGAAACTTACTCTAACCTCATACTTCACCATCACAAGTCCGGTTGACTAGTCTAGTGAGTTGTCCTCTTACGTCAAGCGCCAGCACAATATCTCTTGATTTCAGGAGATCTTTGGCTTGTGAAGAAAGCGACGTGATGGGATCGACGTGATTATCTGGAGCTAACCAATATTCCGCATAATCAAGTTTGCAATTCCATCAAAAGACAAACACTTCTCAAGAGAAGTCGATTTCAAGCCAATTGCTTCGACTACCGCAATCATGTCAAAGCCCATAGTCCTCCAACTGGGCCAAATCGAGCAGTACGTCTTCCTTCGTCTTCCATTCGGACGATTGTCGTCTCATGCTCCCGAATCAACCTTCAGCCTCGTATTCACATCCTCCCACTACAACCCCTACATCACCCTTCCTCATCTCAACCAGACGCACCAAACCAAAGCTAACAAACACAACCCAAAAGCGCCCACGACACCTGGGCCTCCCTCGCTGACGTCGCCCAAATCATCAAGCCAAAGGCCACTAATCGCGCCGAGCTCCTCGAGGAGTGCAAATCCGGCGCCCTCGACGGCGTAAAGGCAATCTACCGCACTTTTGCAAGCGTCCACATCACCGGCCGCATCGATGCCGAGCTCGTCGCCGCGCTTCCCTCCAGCGTAGGCTTCATCTGCCACAATGGTGAGCCTCCCTCCTCTTCTTCCACCTCACACGCTCAGAACACGCCCGATATCACGCATTTCCCATCACAAATCCCTTAGTAGTAGCAGCAGATCAGACACCACATGCTAAACAACACCAAGGCGCCGGCTACGACCAAATCGACATCCCAGCCTGCACATCCCGCTCCCCCGACCCCATCCTCGTCTCAAACACACCCACCGCAGTCGACGACGCAACAGCAGACATTGCAATCTTCCTCATCCTCGGCGCCCTCCGCAACCTCAACGCCTCCATCCTCTCCATCCGCGATGGGAAGTGGAAAGGTCAACCCCCTCCCCCGCTAGGCCGCGATCCCCAAGGCAAAGTCCTAGGCATCCTCGGTATGGGCGGCATCGGGCGCAACATGGCCAAGAAGGCAAGGGCGTTTGGCATGGAGGTGCGGTATTTCAACCGTACGAGGCTCGAGGGCCATTTGGAGGAGGAGTGTGGTGCCAGCTATGTTGATTTCGAGACGTTGTTGCGGGAGAGTGATGTGATTTCTCTCAACCTGCCTCTAAACGTACGTAACCCCCCCCCCCCCCGGGGGCAATTTTTCTCTTCATCACCACTGACAAGAAAAGGCCCACACCCGCCACATAATCTCAACCCCGCAATTCGACCTCATGAAACCCGGCGTGGTGGTAGTAAACACGGCCCGCGGCGCCGTCATCGACGAAGCCGCGCTCGTCGCGGCGCTCGATTCCGGAAAAGTCGCCAGCGCGGGTCTCGACGTCTTTGAGAACGAGCCCGAGGTCCACCCCGGCCTTCTCGCCAACCCCAACGTGCTGATTGTCCCGCACATGGGCACCTGGACGCTCGAGACAAGCGTCAAGATGGAGAAGTGGGCTATTGGGAATGTAAGGAGGGCGGTGACGGAGGAGAAGCTGGATAGTGTTGTTGTTGAGCAAAAGGGGCTTGTTGGTTAGAGGGGTGGCGGACGAGAAAGGAGGTAGTAAACGGTCTCTGGTAGAGGTTTTGTTCCTGAAGATAGTAGAAAAGTAGCGAAAATGAGGTTGCCCATGTAATTGGAAGTAACACGAGATATGTAGTCCAAAACACGTATAGCCTAGGAAAAGACTGCCTTGTTATCGTCTGACATGGATGTTAGATAGACACCAGCTTGGAACATATCCTACAATAACATCCCCAGTGTCTGGGTTAGAATAAGTAACTCACCCAAGTTGCATTGTGCCTCATGGACGTATACTACATGGTATACGTACCGAAGAAGGGCGAGTCCCTGTGCGAGACCACCGGATTCCCGACTACATATGCTGACCTATGGTCCATAGAACGGAAGTTAAAGCAAGGATTTCTAGACGAGCTATTGCTGAGGGATTGAGACAGATGGTATCCCAGAGCCCTCATTGCGGTACCAGGTCCAAGTCAAGTGTTTTGTGCGCATTTACCAAGGCGCACTTGTCTAAGTTTCGGGGCGTAACTAGTGGGTGCAGTAAGAATTGAGGGCAAACTTGCACTCAGCATGCAGTTCTACGCATCGAATGTCTAGATATGAACGTGGCAAGAATTAGACAGTACGAGGGCACAAATCAATAGGCACAATCAAAGTTGTTGCTCGAAAGACGCATATATTCATCTATGCGGACCGCGGTTGACGGGCCCTAGTCGTCGAGTTGTCTACCCATAACCCCTAATCCCATGTCCGGGGGTTGAGTCCCTTATTTTTTCCCGCTCCCCAAGAGTCGGGCCGAAGAAAGCAAAATACAGATGCCATGGTCTGGGGAATCACTATTCACAAGCCAACGCCTTTTTTTTGTTGAAAAATCTCGCAGCCAGGCCCCCCAAGCTTTTTGAGTTTCCAGCCCGTAACCGCCCCCAGCCGAGATTCCCTTCCCAGATGTGTCATGCAAGTCATGCTGTTGAGAACACACATTGCCAAATGTTATGGTGTACGCTCGTTGAAGTCATTAGTCGGAATGTTGAAGAAATCCAGTCGCTAAAAGATTGGACGATACAAAGAGGAAGCCGCTTAGTAGCGGTAGATGTCGCTCTTGTAGGGACCCTCAACGGTGATGCTGAGGTAGTCGGCCTGGGTCTTGGTGAGCTCGGTGAGCTCAACGTTGACGTGGGACAGGTGAAGTCTGGCGACCTCCTCGTCAAGGACCTTGGGGAGGACGTAGACACCAACATCGAGCTTGCCAGCCTTGGCGAACTCGACGTACTTCTGGCCCCAGGCGGCGTCGCCGGACTTGTACAGCATGATCTGGGCAAGAACCTGGTTGGTGAAGGAGCAGGACATGACGAAGGAGGAGTGACCGGTGGCACAGCCAAGGTTGACCAGACGACCCTCGGCAAGGAGGATGATGTGGCGGCCGTTCTTCATCAGGAAGCGGTCGACCTGGGGCTTGATGTTCTGGACGCTCTGGGCGTTGGCCTTGAGCCAGGCGACGTCGATCTCGATGTCGAAGTGACCAATGTCTGGAGGGAGGAGGTTAGTCAACTGGACTGGAGAAGAAACAGATAACAAGGGGAATGAACGTACTGCAGACAATGGCGTCGTTGGGCATGACGTCGAAGTGAGCGCCAGTCAGGATGTCACGGCAGCCAGTGGTGGTGACGAAGATCTGACCGCGGGGAGCGGCCTTCTCCATGGTGGTGACCTCGTAGCCGGCCATGGCGGCCTGGAGGGCGTTGATGGGGTCAATCTCGGTGACAATGACACGAGCACCCATGGTGTGCAGAGCCTGGGCGCAGCCCTTGCCGACATCACCGAATCCAGCGACGACGGCGATCTTGCCGGCAACCATGACGTCGGTAGCACGCTTGATTCCGTCAATGAGGGACTCGCGGCAGCCGTACAGGTTGTCGAACTTGGACTTTGTGACGGAGTCGTTGACGTTGATGGAGGGCACAAGGAGCTTGCCGTCCTTGAGCATCTTGTAGAGGTGGTGGACACCGGTGGTGGTCTCCTCAGAGACACCGTAGCAGCCCTTGAGCATCTCGGGGTACTTCTCGTGGACGAGGTGGGTCAGATCACCACCATCATCGAGGATAAGGTTGAGCTTCTGGCCATCCTTGAAGGCGGACAGCTGCTGCTCCAAGCACCAGTTGTACTCCTCCTCGGTCTCACCCTTCCAGGCGAAGACGGGGACACCGGCAGCGGCAATGGCAGCAGCGGCGTGGTCCTGGGTGGAGAAGATGTTGCAGGAAGTCCAGGTAACCTCAGCACCA